TTCTTGTCAGGAGTATAGACCCAATGATTTGTTGATTCAGCAATTGGTTATGAATTTCTACACCTATCTTCCGTCGAGGCGGTATTGTAAGAGTTAGAGTAGGAGCTATCTATGTCATGCGGTGCAATGGGAGCATCAGATTCGTGGAATTTCGACTAAATTGATCAGAGAATGTTATTGTGGTCCTATGAGTAAAATGGTGCAATGCGTGAGTTCAGCTAAGGTATGCAATCACATCTTGGTACTGCGTGTAGTTATTGACATGGTGAGCGTATGTTAGAAACAGGTCTGGCATAGAATTCTGGATGTTGGAATTCGGCTTTAAGGCTTATTTGCTTGAATAAAAGGGATATCTTCAGAATTGATCGAGCTAATGTGCTCAACTGAGTTGTGGTAGCACGGGAAGGTGCATGAGGTGTTAAACAGTGATTTCAGACTACTTTAGTGTAGTTCGCAGCACGTTCGAGGACGAATCTATGTTTAAGTGGGAGAGAATGTAACGACCCGACCGGTTGTTTTGAGCTCTAGCGCGTCGTTCCGCTGTCTGAGGCCATGAGCAGCTTCATTTTAGGTATTATGACTTGTACGCATGGCCGGAATTAAATTTCGGGAAGTTCAGAGTTGATTTGGAAAGAGAATTATCATTTCGAAAGCTTAAAGTTGAAAGAATTAACTAGGATTGGATTTTTGAGTAAACGACCTCGGAATCGGGATCTGAAGGTTCTACCAAGTTCGTATGATGATTTCGGACATGGGCGTATGCCAGGATCGAGTTTTGGATGACTCGGGAGCATTTTGGCACCTATTGTGGAAGTTAGCATTTTGGAAGAAATTTCATATGTTTGGCTTGAAGTGCATTTCAGTGTTATTGATGTCCGTTTGGGATTCCGAGTCTGGGAGTAGCTCCGTATGGTGATTCTGGAGTTGGGAGCGCGATCGGAAGTGAATTCGGAGGTCGGTAGGTCATTTTGGAGTCATTTGGCTAAAGATAGAAAAGTGAAGGTTTTGAGAAGTTTGACCGGAAGTGGACTTTTTGATATCAGGGCCGGAATCCAATTCTGGAAGTTGGAGTAGGTCCGCAATGTCAAATATGACTTGTGTGTAAAATTTGAAGTCAATCGGACGTGCTTACATCGAATGTAGAAATTTGAGATTCTAAAATTCATAAAGCTTAGATTGGAGGTTGATTCATGATTTTGGCATTGTTTGATATGATTTGAGGCCTCGAGCAAGTCTGTAATGTGTTTTGGGATTGGTTGGTATGATTGGTTGGGGTCCCGGGGGGCCTCGGGTGGATTCTGGGTGGTTAATGGATCGAAAATGGGATTTTTGAGAAGAGCTGAAGGTTGCTGCTTCTGTCATAACCGCGCTTGCGGTTGGTGGACCGCAGGTGCGAGACTACAGAAGCGGTCCTGGCATCGCAGAAGCGACCCAAGCAAGCCAGGCTAGGAACCGCAGAAGGGGCTCCCAAGCCGTAGATGCGGCTCCGCAAATGCGGCCTCCAGACCGCAGAAGTGGTCCCAACCTTCTCTCCCCATTCCGCAGATGCGGTCATCTTCTCGCAGATGCAGGACCGCAGATGCGGTCCCCTGACCGCAGATGCAGAAATTGTTGAGGCAGTGAGGTTCATTTAATACGAGTTCTAAGCCATTTTTATCACTTATACACTCTTCCATTGGCGATTTTGGGAGCTTTGGATAGAAGACTTCCACTTAGCATTGTGAGGTAAGTTACCCCACCCATCCTTAGTTTAATACTTACGTATTAGGTAAATTAAACACTAGAAATTAGGTAAAAATCAAGTGGGTTAGAGCAAGACCTAGGGTTTTAATAAAAGTTAGATTTAACTACAAAAATGGTTATGGAATTGATTAGAAATCGTATATTCTTGATCCTTAGGTTATAAAGAATAACTTCCTTTAGAAAATTTCTAAATCCTGGCACGTGGGACCGGGGATGAATTTTAGGAACCTTGCACTTAAGGTTGGAAAATTGGTTTAATAATTAGAATATTAACTTTTGAACATGTATTGACTAGTTCTTACCCTATTTGAATAGTTTTGGATCGTTCGGCTCCAAATTGGAGGTTTGAGCGCATTCTTGAACTGGAACATAGGCTTCGGAGCGAGGTGAGTCTCCTTTCTAATCTTGTAAGAGGGAATTGTCCCCATAGGTGAGTTAATTTGTTATGTGCTACTATTTGTGGGGGCTACGTACGCACGAGGTGACGAGAGTCCGTGCGTAGCTACTATTATGCTATTGTCTGGGTAGTCTAGGACCCAAAAACATGTTATACTTGGAATATTTGTAAACTTATTGACAGCTTGAATTGCTTAAATCATATCGAATTAGTAAATGAATTTCTAAACAAATTAAACTTCATTTTTCTTAAATCATTAAAAGAGAATTGGATTTTATTGGAATAAACATTTCCCGATAAACTCTTAATTAGCTGTTTGACTGTGTATATCTATGTGTGCCTGCGTCGCATGTATGATTCGCGAGCGGGGTATTTGTTTATTTAATGTTGACCGCGTCGCATGTATGATGCTCGAGCGGGGTAATAGATGCATCTATGGTTCGTGCCGTTTGACTCTCGGCAGTGCACATTTTACATTTCTGTTTGATCGGGCCGTACGACCTCGGCATGATATGCGCATGCTTGTATTGCTTGCTTGAGAATGTTATGTGATAATATTTGCCTTCCCTGTCCAGATATAGTTGATAAGCATAATGAAAAGTAAACTTTAGAAATCCGTACTTATTTGAGATGTTGTTTACCTATTATCTGGTTTTTACGAGTTTATAATTGCTTTATAAAAATCCATGATTTCCTCACATTTTCACTATATTGTTATTGGACCACTAGTAAATGTCAAAGTCGACCTCTCTTCTCTACTTCTTTGAGATTAGACGGGATACTCATTGAGTACATGTTGTTTTCGTACTCGTACTACACTTCTGTGCATTTTTGTTGCATAGGCATATGTATCTCTAGTGGCCTACTGGGCGTAGCAGTATGGTTGATACGGAGACTTAGGTGAGCTGCACTTCTCAAGGCGACCCGCAGCCAGTAGAGTCTCTTTCAGTTATCTGTATTTATTTTCTGTCCAATATTGTATTCCGGGCGGTTGTTGCATTTTATTTCCTTCTTAGTAAATGCTCATGCACTTGTGACACCGGGTTCTGGGATGATTATGAGGTATCTTGCATTTACTCCCAAACATTCTTTTATTTACATTGTAAAGATTGTCTTTTACTAGTAAAATTGAAGGAAAACCTTAGTTTCAAAATTGTTAAAATGAGAACTTAATCAAGTGACTTGGTTGGCTTGCCTGACAGTAGTGTCCGGCGCCATCACGACCCTTAGTGGATTTTGTGTCGTGATAAAACACATTATGAGACTGATTATTATTACTGTTTTGAAAGGGCATTTTCTTTTTATGATAGTTTCTAATTATTATTATACATGCATGTTTTCTGACTTGTCTCCAATTAAAAACGGTTGTGGTTAAGTGTTATTACTCATTGAGCTAGCGACTCACTCCCCGCTATTTGTTTACAGAGACATCAGGTGAGCGAGCGAGGATTTCATTAATTAGAGTATTGACAAATTTCTGGTGTGACGACCCGGCCAGTTGTCTCATGAATTACCACTCCGTTTTCCCCATTTTAGCTTATTTGCGATTCATTATCGGTGTTTTATGTGATCGGGTTGATTAGTTTGAGTTCGGGGAGGATTCTGGTAAGAAATGAGACACTTAGTCTCTTTTAAGAAGGCTTAAGTTAGAAAAGTCAACCGGATGTTGACATATATGTTAGAGGGCTCGGATGTGAGTTCCGATGGTTCGGTTAGCTTCAGGAGGTGATTTGTGACTTAGGAGCGCGATCGGAATGGGTTTTGGAGTTGTAGAGAAGATTTAGGCTTGAATTGGCGAAATTGATATTTTGGCAAATTCCGGTTGATAGGCAAGATTTTGATATAGGGGTCGGAATGGAATTCCGAGAGTTGCAGTAGCTTCGTTGTATCATTTGGGATGTGTGCGCAAAATTTCAGGTCATTCGGACGAGATTTGATAGACTTTTTGATGGAATGCATAATTTAAGAGTTCTGGGAGTTCTTAGGCTTGAATCCTATGTTAAATTGATTATTTGATGTTGTTGTGAGCGTTCCGAAGTTTTGAGCAAGTTTGAACAATGTCGTGGGATGTGTTGGCAAGATTGGTTTGATGTTCCGGGGGTTCCGGGTAGGTTCCGGGATGTTTTAGTGCGAAAATCATAGCCGTAGCAGGTTCAGAAGGGTTGCAGGCCCCAGAACTCACCCACGCGGCCCATACAAAAATGAGTGCACCCGCGGCGAGAGCTGTGCTGACCGCACAAAAGCGGGCGCGGACGCGGTAGTTGTCGCGCGGACCGCACAAAAGGGGGCGCGGCCGCGGTGAAGAACCTTTCCGTTGGTCCAAATTCGGAAGCTCATATCTTTTGATCTACAAGGAATTTTGAGGTGATTCAAAAACGAAAGTTGTATCCCTTCGTGTCTAGTTTCCATAAAGATAAAGATATTACAATTTGAACATCTATAGGAAAAGTTATGGCCAAAATACTAAAGCCTGTCGCTGCAAAGGAAGGCCTGTGCGGCCGCAGTTGTTTTTGCGCGGACCGCACTGGCTTGTGCGGACCGCGGAGGCTGAAATCTGAGGGGTACTCTATAAATACGAGTTTTGGGTTTTAATTAATATTTTGACCTAGAGAGCTCGGATTTTGGCAATTTTTCGAAGGTTTTTCAAGAAATTCATCGGGGTAAGTGATTTTAACTCAGATTTGGCTAGAATACATGAATCTATCACTAAATTCTGAAAATGTAAATTTTACCTGATTCCGAGACGTGGTCCTGAGGCTCGGGTTTTGCTAATTTCGGGATTTTTTATATTTTTCGAATGTTCTCGCTTGGGCTTTGTTCCCTTGGCATATTGTGACGTATTCGTTCTGATTTTGGATAGATTCGACGTGCGTGGAGGCCAATTCGAGGGGCAAAGGCATCGCGAGCTAGAGAATTAGCCGGTTCGAGGTGAGTAATGATTGTAAATAATGTCCTGAGGGTTTGAAACCCCAGATTTGCACATCGTAGTGCTATATTGAGGTGAGACACGCGCTGGATGATGAGCGTGGGTCTTTTACTACTGGGGATTGTGACTTGGTCCGTCCCGATTGATGATTTTATCGCGTATTTGACTGAAATTCATTTGTTATCATCATGATTTGGGCTGATTGCCATATTTGGGCTTCGTCCCAATTATTTGAACCCTTCGGGGATTTTTATCACTGTTTCCTCACTACTTGACTTATTATTTGAACTAGTACTGTTGATATCTACTGTTTTACAAACTCAACCACTTTTACTCAGATTTGAAACTTAAATGATATTTCTACATCATGTTTTGGGCTGAGAACTACTATTTTACTAATGCCCAAGGGGCTTGTGATGATTTTTGGACTGAGTGAGGCCAAGGGCCATATGTGAGGATATGCTGAGTGATATGAGGCCGAGGGCCTGAGATACTTTATATGCCACGAGGTGGCTTGAGTGATGTGAGGCTGAGTGCCTAGTGATGTGAGGTCGAGTGCCGAGTGATGATGCCACGAGGTGGCTTGATATAGCGCTTGGGCCGTAAGGGGCCCCTCCGGAGTCTGCACACCCACAGTGAGTGCGGGTACCCATTGTTCTGAATGATTGATACTATGCCCGAGGGGCTGATATGAGTAATTGTGAGGTAGCCTGAGGGGCTGTTACTATTCTGCTATTGAGCTCGAGGGACTGGCACTGTTCTGATATTGAGCCCGAAGGGGCTGGTTCTATTGATATTATGCCCGAGGGGCAGTTTGTTGTACATGTTTTGCCCAAGGGGCTGTTTACATTTCTATCATTTTTGTTACTCACTTGTAAACTACTTGCTTTACTTGTTGGAAAAAGGGATTTTCACTTGATTTCTCAATGCTTTACTGTTTAAAGTGATTTTACTGCTTTAGTAGGAATGCCTTGTATTTTTATGTGATTTCTTGCCTTCAGTCTTTATTTGTTATTATTACTCACTAAGTCGGAGTACTCACATTACTCCCTGCACCGTGTGTGCAGATTCAGGCATAGCAGAGTCCGCACCTGAGCACTAATTCCTTCCAAGCTAGGCAGTGATTTGGAGTTACGAGGTAGTTGTTGACGTCTGCATCCCCTTGTCGCGTGGGTGAAGAGTTTATTCATTTGTTATGTTCTTTTCATTAAAACTCTTAGAGTCGCTCCATAGTCATTTTTTTGTGTCATGAGTATTCTTTTATTATTTTAGAACTATAACTAGTATTAGACTTCCGTATCATATTTTGAAGATAAATTAAGTATTACTCTGGTACAATCGATTTATTAATAGTGGTGAATAAATGTATTATTAACTGATGAGGATTAGGAGATACTTTGGTTGACATAGGTTGGTTCTGTTGTTGATTCTGAGAGAGGGTAAATTTTTGGATAGTCCTAAAATAGGGGAAACTCTGCCCGATTTTCTGTAAATTCCCGTTAAGGCTTGCTTTGGGATCCTACCCCTTAGCGCTGGTAATGGCCCTAAATTGGGTCGTGATAGCTGTTTATGGAGGAAAATGGGAGGAGTTGTGGCTGCTTTCAACTGAATTTTAACGAAGAGAAAGGGGTTGTTTGGGTGGTTTCGATGGCTGAAGCTTTGGTGGGTTGCTGGGCGTTCAAAGGAGGGGGGATGCCGGGGAAGGTGAGAAAACAAAAAGGGGAAGGGGAGTGTCCATTTTTTTAAGGTGATAGCATCCTCAGAAGCTCAAATCTATTCAAGGACAAAGATGAAGCTTTGGAATCTCAAAGAGGGCCTTTAACAAGATCTCAAGCAAAAAAGTTGCAAAGCAAGGTCATTGGATTTCAAGAATGATCAAAGAAATTGTTAGTTGGGAGGAAGAACTTAAGAATAAAGGATATGAGTTATCTAGGTGTTATAATTATTTTACGGCACAAATTCATATCTAGTAAGAGGTGGATTAGATCCCAAAAAACATCCTCTGAAGAAGGTCCAAATCAGGCCCCTGTTGGACCAATTTAGCGCCTAAAATGTGTCCAAACTTGCAACCCATGAAGTCCTACATAAAGCCACATTTTTATAGTATAAAAAGGACTTACTTGATGTCCAAGAATGGTATAATGGTCGTGCTAGATGTTGAGTGCAAGTTGGTGCCAAGTTGCTTGCAAATTTCCTTCAAGATTTCCAAGATTTTCAAGATTCTATCCAAGATTGGTTTGAGACTTATTTCCATATATTATGAGACTATATTTATGTCACGACCCTAAATCCAGATCCGGTCGTGATGGCGCCTATCGTGAAATAAGGAAAGCTGACACAACTCCCAATACATTTTAAACAATTATAATAACACAATTTAAATCATTAACATGCTAATAATCCCAAAATAAAAGTGAAATAGTACAATTTGCAGAAACCAACACAACCCGATATTGGGGTATCACCAGTCATGAGCATCTAATGTAAGTCTAAGAGTATGAGAGAGACTATGCAGTATATTACAAAAACTAATACAAGGTAAAATAAGATAAGGGGGAGAAGTACTGGGCTGCGAACGACGAGTAGCTACCTAGTAATCTCCGAACCGCCTGCTGGAAGAAATCAGCACTCGCTAGTGGGACCCGAAGCTCCTAGATCTGCACACATGGTGCAGGGAGTAATGTGAGTACGCCAACTCAGTGAGTAATAAAAATAAATGAAGGTTGAGCGATAAGAAAAACACATAAAACACAGCAAAATGCTACAAAGAGGTAGTGTAAAACCTTTACAAAGCAATAAAACAGTGAAATCTTATAAAAACACCTTAGTTTAGTATAAGCTTTTTTAAACCATCTTTTACTAGCTAAACGAGTGAATGAAAAGTAGTGAGAAAAGATAAACACATGAAACCAGCCCCTTGGGCAAAGTACCAATAGAATCAGCCCCTCAGGCTATCTCACAATCACTCGTATCAGCCCCTTGGGCAATAACATGGAACAACATAAGCCCTACGGGCTATATCACATCTCACACTGGGTACTCGCGCTCACTGGGGGTGTACAGACTCCGGGAGGGGCCCCTTACGATCCAAGCACAATATCAAGCCATCTCGTGGCATAATCAATAGGCTCTCAGCATCATATCAAGCCACCTTGTAGCGTACAACTTAGGCCCTCGACCTCATAATCATGAATCAGGTCAATACCACTGCGGCGCGCATCCTGATCCCATAATAACCTCACGACAGAGGCCCTCGGCCCTACTCAGTCAGAAATCTCTAAAATCCACTCGGGCATAGTAAAATATGAGTCTCAGCTCAAAATATCATTTAAGATGTCAAAATAGAGTAAATATGGATGACTTATAAAAACAATAGAATATAGCATGACTGAGTACAAGGATAAAGTCAAAATAGTGAGGAACAATGTGTCACCTTAACATAGCACAACGATGTGAAATCCGAGGTTTCATACCCTCAGGACAACATTTACAATCATTACTCACCTCTATCAGGTCCAAACTCTAGCCCGCGATGCCTTTGCCTCTCGAATCGGCCTCCAGATGCTCCAAATCTAACCAAAATCAGTGCAAAAACATCAAAATATGCTAAGGGAACAAAGCCCACTCGAAAGAAATCAAATTACAGAACAAATCCCGAAATTGGCCAAACCCGACCCCCTGGCCCACGTCTCGAAATCCGATAAAAATTACATCAATAGACTCCTTATCACTCCCCGAGTTCATACATATCAAAAGTACTAAAATCCGACCACAAATGACCCCGCTAACCCTTGCTCAAAGGTCTCTAATCTCAAGCCCTAGTTTTCCCAATTTTTAACCCTTAATTTCCATTAATTTTCAAGCCAAATAAGTGAAATAACACCATAGAATCGAGTTTAGGGTCTAAAAACCTTACCTCTATGAAATCCCTTTGAAATCCCTCTTCAAATAGCTCCCTCAAGCTCAAACCCGCATGAAAATGGTGAAGAATAACTCAAAAATCGTGAAGGAAACCTTTTATACTTTTTGGCCCAGGAGTTTTGCACATGCGGTCCAAATTCCGCTTCTGCGGTCCCAAGCACTGCATCTACGGTTTTCACTAAAGAGTTCATCTTCGCATTTGCAATGCAAAGACCGCACCTACGCTATCGCTGGTGAGCTTTCTTAGCCGCTCCTGTGGTTCCAGCCCCACATGGCCAATCCCACATCTGTGACCATTTGGGCACTTCTGTGAGCCCGCACCTGCGGTCCCCTAGCCGCAGGTGCGGTTATGACAGCAATGGGAAATCTTCAGCTGCAGAAAACCATACTCAAATCTTCCGCCAACCATCTGAAATCATCCCGAAGCCCCCGGGACTCCAACCAAAAGCACAACCGAGTCATACACCACCATCCAAACTTGTAGCAATCCTTAAAACACCTCAAACAATATTGAATCAACCAAATCACATCGAATTCAAGCCTAAGGTTCCGAAATCTTCCGAATTTCGGTTTTGATCAAAAAGTCTACAGAACAACGTCCGAATGACCTGAAATTTTGTACACACATCCCAAATGACACAACGTACCTACTGCAACTTCCGGAATTCTATTCCGACCTCTATAACAAAATCTCATCTATCAATCGAAAAACGCCAAAATACCAATTTCGTCAATCCAAGCCTAAATCTACTACGGACCTCCAAAACACGTTCTGATCACACCCCTAGCCTCCTCTATGGGTCGACCTCTCCACTGCACTTTCACTGAAGCTGTATCCTTTGACCTCAACTTTTGAACTTGACGCTCCAAAATAGCAACTGGCTCCACATCATAAATCAAGTCATCATCTAACTGAACCATGATAAAATCCAGAACATGAGATGGATCCCTAATATTCTTCCGAAGCATGGAAACATGAAATACCGGATGCACACTCGACAAGCTAGGTGGAAAAGCAAGCTCATAATCTACCTCCCCAATCCTCC